TATTATTTCTTAGTTACTACTTATTAGGTACCTACCTAATATGAATGTGTCAACTATAAGTAGGTAGTCTATAACTTATTTGTATCGATATAATATAATGTAAATCATTCAACTTCAACATTAAGAGATGTGAGTACGTTTACACATAATATATAAACAAACCTGTAGTAAAATTCAAAAAGCATCAATTTGTGGTTGTGAATTAATATAAGTTCTTAAAAATAGTAGAAAACGAGATTTAATATTTTGAAAACCATATATTTTCGATTTACTTGCTAAAAAATAGAGCTAAAAATTTCAATCAGCACGCATAAATATTTTTACGTGATACGTTTTCATCTGAAGATAGAATAATGTACGAGTACCAAATATTTAATTTATGAAAATATGTTATATTATGGAGCAACTGTATGGCACTCGTGTGGACTTTTATTTCTGTTGGTTTTTTTTATATAAGAATGTAGAAATATACCTAAGCAACTAAAAGAAAGATGCAAGTGCAATAAGCTTAGTCATCACCTTTTGAAAAAATTATTTCGATTTTCAACATTTCGGTTACCTACTGGTAACAAATTGGCTAGTTAATAATGCTTTATAAAAAAATAGTACAATTTATTGTTATAATAAGTTGCAGTTAAAATTCCTATATAGGTCATAACTTATAGGTAGGTAATGGATATAACGTTAAAATGTAAACAAAATAGATATTAATAAAATAGATTGATTATATTTATAATTAAACTATGGTGAACTTATTATAATATCCTTCAGAAAATCTCAAAAATGATTAATTTTTACTCTAATATCTTAAAAACTTTGAAAAAAACCTCTTTTAAGGCTATTATTGTTACGTAACCATGGATATATTCAACATATATGTTTAAAATGTACAAATTATATAAAAATTATTGAAATAATTGAAGTGCTTGACAAACTTTTTTCATAATAAAACTTAATTTTAAAATATTCCATCCCGGTATCACCCCACAATTGTCTCACAATAGTTCCACAATCCGTAACTAACAGATTTTTCCAATAATATACAGTTTATACGCAAAAATTATTTGTAACCCTCTACGATAATTTACCGATTATCGAAAAAAACGAAAAAAATGAACGAGGTCCGGCTGACGGAAACGCACTTGTTGCCGTCCAAGACGCAAAGGACTCGCATGGCCACGTATGTCATGACGATTGTCACGATCATGGTCTGCGGCGGCACTTTCTACCGTGCTCTGCAGGCCCAGTCAAAGTACCGCTCTTTCCTGAAAAACGCAACTCTGACCGAGCACGGCTGGTCGGCTAAGGATAACCGGACGGATCTGCTGCGCAGGCTGATCCAATCCGACCGGACCGAAGATTGTGCCAACACGTCCATGAATAACCTGTTACTGCTGATTGGCTCGATCTTGTTTATTACACTTAGAGCGTAGGTATATAGGTAGTATATTATAAACAGTCTTACAAAAAAATACTTTTGAAAAATGATCAAGATACTAATACTAGTATTCGAATAAAAAAGTATTAAAAATACTTTTAATATACTATTAAAAAAATATATTTTACGAATACTCACAATGTATTTGAAGACAAATACAAGTATTTTTTTTAATTTTATATTATATAATATATAATGTATATTGTAAATCAGTGAACCTATTATGTTACTACTTAAATTACCATAGCATGTCTGACTATTTACAGATAAATACGTGTCCACATATTTCATTCTGCATTCAGATATAATATATCAACTTATATTGATTAAATTTGAATGAGAATAATAAAATAAAAAGTGGTATTAACTATTAATATGGAACTATTTTAAAATTATTAGATTTTCAGTTTTTATAAATCAATACAGAAACCATATACAATTAATAAAACGGACTTTATGGTATTTTAATACAAGTATTTACATTTTGTTAAAAATACTTTTAAATAATAATATACAAAATACCTAAAAAATACATTAAAAAAATTGTATTTAGAATACCACATAAATTATAAATACTTCAAAAAGTATTCGAATACTTTACGAGACTAAGTATTATATTACTGCATGTGAGAGTGCGGATCCATCGTGTGCAGCTGTAAGTAGGTATCTAGTAGGTACCTAGGTTCGGCGAACAATAATTCTACATGCATTACGTTTTTGATTTATTTACAAATATATTATTATAATTTTTAATTACAGGTAAAATGTACAACAAACAACATAAGTAAACCACTCTGTTATACATTATCAAGTACCATCAATAATGTTATATTAATAAGATGTGTACCTCGTCATTGCAGACATTGATGGTTTGAGTGTATTATATTAGCATAGGTCACTGTAATGAATGTATTAGACATGAGTTGAGATGGTCTATAGCATTTTAGTAGGTAACTTACTATTGTCATAGGTAAAGTTCAATTTTCTTCCAGAAATCTCCAACGAAGTTGATGATTGAATCAATTTGTATAATAGAAATTATGTGCGCTTAATTATATTGTACATGCTAAAAATACTTTAAGCTATCACTATAAATTTAATATGTGATTTGGGAAACATCGTTTTAAATATCCAATATCCTAATACACAACTAAGTCTTAAGTTTAGATTTGATTTTTAATTTTTACAAGAAAACATAATATTCATTGACATCATAATACCTACGAAAGAGCTACAATTAAAAAAAGGTGGGTACTGTACTGTAGGTTACAAGTGGGTCACGGTATAATGGATGGTATTAAATTTTAATTCAATGATATAATATCATTGTATAAGAAAAACGATTCTGAGCGGAGACGGTATGTCAGTCTAGGTATAAGACATATTATATACTTATCCATGGTATTAAATTATATGGAATTTATGAATAAATTATTCATTGTCCCTTAAAATATGCACAGTCTTATCATTGAGCATACTTCTTATTCCTTATACTATGGTAGGTTGTATGGATAGGCCATAATATTTTGATTTTTCATATATCCCTGAATAATATTTTTAAATTACAACAAAAAACCAAGATCGTTAATATTGATTTTAATATGTAATTTCGTCCAAATTTGAATTTAAAATGTCTGTAAAAAATAACTGTGTTCATATATTTTTTAGATTTTTTGGTTACAGTATGAACTATTTATGAGAACCTTTGTTTTAAATTTGCAATCCTTAGCTATAAAAACTGAAAATTTTATAATTTATTAATTACAATGATTGATAATTTTCGAGATTTTGATAAATTTTGTCCAAATTCGATCTTTAAATGCTTTAAAAAAAAATTGTGCCTATGTATTTTTAATATTTTTCAATTGCTATTGTAACAATATATCAGGAGCCTTGTATTACATTTTTACACTTTTTGGCACAACAAATAATACTTTATTGGTATTTATAGAAAAAAAACTAAAAAAATTGAAAACTGAAAATGTCCGTAAACAGCTCAAAAAGAGTCAAAATATTTTCAAAATTGTACAGTGTATAGGAAATACTAATATGAACATTCAGTGAAATTTTCATGTATCTATAGTTATTCGTTTTTGAATTACAACAAAATAAGGAAATCGCTACATGAGAAATCGAGTGAATATCCAATGTTGTAAAAATTTGAATTTCAAACGCTCATAAAAATTTAATTTGACTTTCCGGTAGAGATTTTTTCATTGATAAAGGTAGACAAACTTATGAGTAATCTTGTATTACATTTTCAAATCTTAGATTGAAAAAGAAAAATTTTTACGAATTCTTAACTCAAAATAATTTGCTAATTTTCGTGATTTTTCCATATTTTGTCAATTTTTGAATTTTAAATTCTTATAAAAAAAAATTGTGACTAATTATTTTTAATATTTTTCTATACGTTCATTTGTTTTAGAGTTACACCAAAAACCAAAATCGATTTTCTGGAAAATTGCCGTTATTCCTTAATTTTTATGTGTTTAATCCCGGCGCTTGTGAAAACTATTGGGAATTTTAAAATTACCTCCCGAATGCACCAACTAGATTCACTTTCCAATCGAACAAGATACTGAAGTTGAAAATCGAAGCATTATTTCGACTACTTATCGTGTACACAGACACTAAGATAAAAAAATTATAAAAAAAATTATAAAAAAAAAACACACATCATTGTAAAATCATAAGGTACAGTCAAGAGCGTACCCAACCAAGGGGGAGTAAGGAGAGCCAATCCACCCCCCAATCACTTCCATAACTAACAATTATATTAATGTTTAACGAAATATTAATTTGGGGTAAGAATAGCTTGCTAAGTTGCTACTCAATATTTTTCCTCTACAAGGAAAATCTATGAATCATATATTATATTATATTTTTTTAACAAGTTAAAATGACAACGAAAACCTTACGAAAAATCCAACGGAAAATAAAAAGTTGTATACAGTCTAAAAACATATATGTGTTAAAAAATGGTGTTACGTATTTAAAATATTTTCAAATTTCCATAAGAACAATTTATGTGGAAACTCATATCACATTTTTGACCAATAATAAATTTTTTTTTGACACATTAAAAAACTAAAAACATTTAAATTGCCTATAGGTAAGTAAATAGCTTAAAATTAGTCTAAACCTTCGAAAATTGCATGGTGTATAGAAAATGAAATGATAATTTAAGTTAAAGTGGAATGTTTCTTGTCTCTTAAATTAATATTTTTTGAGTAGGTAACTTACTTAATAATAAAATAATTATAATTGGTCGAGTAGAAATCATATTATGCGTTTGAATATCTTGCAATGTCGTCAAAATTGTGAATCAAGCTATTGCTTATTAAGCTTAAGATGATAAAATTGAACATTTCATTTATTTTAAATTAGGTATTTAATTTATTAATTACAGAATTGTTTACAATAACTTACATATTTTCATATTTTCGTGATTTTGACGAATTTATAAAAATAAGAACTGCTTACATATTTTTTTTTTTCATCAATTAAATTATTTTTAAACATAATTAAAATTTTTTTTTTACAAATATTATTATTCCATAATATTTTGATTTCATTTTTAAATACGTATTGTAACCAGAAATTGAAAATAAACAATCATCTATAATATGCCATGTTTCGGTTAGTAATTTAAATATCATTTTCCGTATAATTTAAATAATTTTCTAAAAATAACATTAGTTTGTTAAAACTTGCCTTGAAATTACGTATATTGGTACACACTACATTTACATTTTTACAATACTTATTTCTTTGTTTTTACTTTTTATATTTATTTAATTATTCACATATAAATTCTTAGTAATTTGTTTTATAGTTGTTAATTGTTATAGTTTTCAATTATACCTATCAAAGTAATAACAAAATATAATTTAAGATAATAGTTTACACGTATAGTCGAATAGACAATAGACGTACCTAATTAGACGTATAGTTTTTATTATTATTTTTTATTTATTATTTTTTTTTATTTTTACCGACTAGTACCTTGTTTGGAATGCAGTCACAGCGTTTTGTGGACATGCGTTTAGTTTTGAATTGCTACGATGTTGGTTGTTTGGTACTATCGGCGGATACCTTTTTACAGTTAACCGACTGCTATCTAAAGTTATACGGAATCATATCAATACTACCAGTGAACGATTATTTTCGCGATAATTTGTGAGTATTGGAACTAACCGCGCCACTCTCCGTAATCTCAAAGACGCGATGATTTGATATTATTTTGTTTTTAGCCAAAGAACTGTGCAACCGTATTACGAAGTCTCTATGGTAAGTGAAGAGTTTTGATATTATTTTAATTAGTTTATGGCACGCATAGGGCCTAGGTACATTACATTTTTAACCATGCACGGCCACTTTTAATCACACAATTGAGAACTCGTATAGTATATATTATAGATTGTAAATTAAATAAAAATGATTTTTGATTTTAATATATTCAGTATTTTTTTAATGATCTAATAGTTCGATACAATATTATTATGTAATACAAAAAATGTTTTTAAATTAGTTTAGCTTTGCACCCCTTCACCCATCCCCCAACAAAATTCCAAAACCTTGGCTTCGCCACTGTATAGAATGTATATTATATTGGTATTGTAAAGTTAGTTCCCACATAATTAGACATATTTTATAATATTGTTATTATTTTTCAATTCGCAATAGGTACTAAGCAGTAAGCACGTTAAAACTGTAATCGTTAAGGCCCTGTCAACCCGAACGCGTTATAACGCGCGTTGAAGCGGTAAATGGCTCGTCGGCGTGGTGCTTTCACGCGCGTGAATAACGCGACGTTGTAACAAATTACAAAATCTCGAGAGGCTTTAATACCGTTTTCTGTTTGACAGAGCCTAAAAGCCTTAAAACATAGAAATTACTTATCAAAAGTAATTTCCATTGGGTACATTTTTGTCGCTTGGAAATAATTCTAATGAAATTACCAAACGCGTTCCAAACAACGTAACACCGTTACAGTAACGCGTTACTTTCTGCCCAACACTGGCAGTAGATGTAGGTAGCAACATTCGTGCATTTTGGGCACTGTAACGTCATTCTATTTGCGCTGAAGAGTTGATTAATTGAACGCGTTGGTACCTACCTAATTGGTAATTACCTACTTACAATGGTGTTCATAGGCATGCGCAGACTTTTTTCGTATGCCGGTATTTTTAATCATACCTAGATCAATACACAAAATAACTGCCCAAAAACTCTTAATAAGTACAAATAACTTGCCATAATATGTTAAATTATATTATAATGCGAAAAGAAATTAACATGCATTTTATTTGACTTATTTATTGGTTTTAGATATTTTAATTTGTAAAGTTTGTACTGTGATTTCATTCCAATAAAGTAACAGTATAAAAACCTAATCTAAAATAACCTAACCTAATCTAATGAATATGAATAGATATTATGAAAATAAGCAATACTCACGAAATGGTGAATTTTGATTTCAACTATATTAATATTATGATTTACCAATCTATTTTATTATTTAGGTACCTGTGGTGATTATGAAAATATACTTATGAAATCTAATTAATATTTGATTTCATCTCAACTCCCAATATTTTATTAGGTACCTATAAGAAAATAATATAAAAATAATCAAAATATTTATATTCTTGAACTAAGATACTATGAACTATCTAGCTAATAGTTCACGATTCTAATTTATAATCAAAACATTTACAACTAAAAACTATATTGGTGATGATAACTCTGCAGGGGATGCCACGGCATACACGGCATCCCCCCTGCGCACGCCTATGGGCTATGAATCTTTCATAAAACCATAAATGTATAAAACATGTAGGTATAAATAATAAATATTATGCCATTATGATTTATTTTTCTCATAGGTACAAATACATGATATTTTATTGTTATGATAATAATAATATGTCTAATGTAAACACTCCCGACAGCTATTTTTCGGGTTTCTATTCTGGTTGTGCGTGATGAATTTTGTACTGAGCTTCTGTCGCTCCACCATAGACAACGACGACAATTGGATAGACTACAACAAAAATTGGATAGACGTGCCAGCCATCTGGTTTTATGATTATGTGGCAATGAAAGTAAAAAGACGGCGGCCGGCGGTCCTGCGTGCCTTGGCTTCGCGACGTCGGCGCACAGCCACCACGAGACGGCTGAGGACAAAGTACCCATTGTCGGAATGGATAAAAAAAATTTTTTAATCCGTCCCATTGAAATGGATATTGCGTACCTACATCCAAATATATAGGTAGGTATGTGATATTATATTGTGTGATTGGGTTTGTTAGGAAAAACTGGCATAAATAAATAAACTAGGTAGGCACCACCTAGATATTGCGGTCCTAGCTTGAAAACAAAGTTTTAATAACTTAATTAACTTACGGCTATTACCTACGACCAGTATGACCATACCTATAAGCATACTTGTTAAATATTTAAATACTTTTTCTGTATTTTAAATACTTTTAGACAGAAAATATAAAAATATAAATTGCTCGTTTATAAATATTTTACCTAATAGAAAAAACAAATATTATAAGTTTATAAAGTAACTGATTCAACTAAGACATGGTAAAAACTAAAAGTTAATAACAAATAAAAACCGTTTTAAAAATTAAAATTCATCGAATTAAAGACCTGCAGTTTTGTCTGGAAAGTTATTCTAAAGTCTAAATACAACATTTTGTGTAGATAGTAACTAATGATTAATGACCATTAGAAGTATTAACTATTAAGTACCTGTTAACAAAATATTAATAGGACGCTCGACCCTCATGTGCTGTCTTCATGGTTCTGAATAATCCATTTAACTCATTATAATTAATATTGAAGCAAATTTACCTATCATCAAATTCGAAAGTAAGAATATTATCAAGTGGACCTTACAGGGAATTTTAATATTTTAATTTTAATAATATAATACAATACTTATTATTTACTTTTACAATAAATACCATCATTTTCAAATGTAAGTTTATAATAAATATTAAATACATTGAAGAAGATAGTTTTACATATTGTTACTAAAATTGTACAGAACATAAACTTATATATTATAGTTATGAATATAAATTATAATAAAATTATAATTTGTTGTACTGAAATAAAATGTATTTATAATTCATAAAAATGTATATTCATCATTCACCATAATGAATACCTTCCTAGTGAATACCTACTATTATCACCAGTTAAACATTTTTAATAACTAGGAACATAACATATTCTGATATTCATAATAGTTGTTTCAATACTAAGTCAAATATTTTTGATACAAAATAAAGGGGTTGACTATTAAATTACTATACTTTGGTAAAAGTAATAGTAAAGTAAAATATGCAAATTGTTGTATACAAAAAATATATTCATTTAAATTTTTCACAATTTCAAAAAATAAATTGATAGTTAAAAATGTTACAATACAGGTAAATTACACATAACTTACAGTTTGTATTATAAACAATTAAAATTAAATACATATTATTATAAATTATAAACACAATTGATGAAGTACAACATTTTATTACAAATGGCTTTTCTGCATTTTCATATGCTTTGAAATAGCAAAGTAAAAAAAAACTCATCCAATTTTTTTTGTGATTTTGCATAGTGAATACAAACATTGCAAGTATGTTTTTCAATACATTTTTATCATTAGAAACCTACAAACATATATAAAAGCATTTTTTTCAGGCATCGATAAATTTCTATAATCTGGGGTACCTATTGTAAGTATATTTTTTTCAAATTGAAATGGATCTCTATCTTGAAATATTATTTTTATGTTTTTGTCATTAAAAGAATTTGTATTAATTTTAGATAAAATTTCATCGAAGTCTGCTAGGCAAATTTGCATTGTCCGAGTGAGTAAAATAATGAAGGCAACAATTTTGTTTGAATGACCAGATTAATTGTATTGGATTTGGATTAATATTATTTCCATTATGCTGGGTGCAAAACGTGCCAAATAAATTTTCATCTGATCTTGATTGATTTGATTTGTATACAGTACATAACTCTCATCAGTATTAGCAGGGGTTAAGTGGAAAAAATTTCCAAAGTAGACTAATATCTCCATATAGTTTTAAGCATTCCATATATAATTTTATGTATAATGTCTAATATATAAAATCCTAATTTGTTAAATGGGACGATTTTTAACCTCCGTATATGAATTGGAATATTCAAACTATACCATTTAGTAATTTAGTTATTTTTTGTATTAATGATAAGTTAAATATAAATTCTTATGTTATTAAATTTATAACAATTATTAGATAGAAAATACATTTATTATAAACATATACAAAGGTACAACTTAACTTAATTTATATATATAGTATTTTTATAAACAATAGTTTGTTTCTTACAATCTTAACAATAATTTAATGTTTCATTCCTCTCAATTATAATTAATTTCAAAAATGATAAAATTAATCATTATTCAGTTGTGTAATTTCGTCCTATCTGAAACTGGTAATGACGAAATATATGCATGAACTGAAGAAAACATAATTGAGTAGTCCATGTTATACATTGATATCCTAGTTTATCTGGAATTTGGAAACCCTCTTTTGCTGACTATAAGAAACAAAAAAATACATTTAATTGTAATTCTTGTAAATATATATTTTTAAGTAACTGTTGTGGAGATATCAATCCTACACTGCCAGCTATACACAATACACATATATCAATTGTTCTCTAAGTTACTATTATTATTACTATAATTCTGTTGAACTGGTATTAAATAAAAGTTAGTCTGTTACACACCGTCAATAAGGTAGTCACGTTATTTCCAAGATTCTTTAGTCGACCATAGCTTTATTTATTATAAGCTAATAGGTTATAGGTCCAGCCACGGAAGAACGGTATGGTATTATGCAGTTCGAGGGTACAAATTTCTCCAACTGGAAATTCAGGGTCGAAATATTGCTAAGGAAACACAACGTGGCACATTGCTTGACGGAAGAGACACCGTCGGAGACCGCTGCTAAGGCCGCGTTCATAGGAAAGTACTCAACGGCCATACCTCTGTTAGTCCATGTGTGGCGGACTTACATCTGGAATACGTCAAGGATGCAACCACAGCAAGAGCAATATGGGAACGGCTATGCTCAACGTGTGAACCCAGAGGTACGTCAAAATTGAAAATTATTATATGACATTTTTTTTTGTCATTTATTTTTATAACGCTCCCTAAATTGATAGATACCTTCGAAGACTTGTTCCATTTGCTCCCCCTTAGGACGACTATGATTATACTGTAAATAAAAAATTTAGTAATAAGGTGTACAACTTCTGTACCTAAATTAAATATTATGTTTCCAATTTTCACATAGTTGCACTCTTCAATAGAATTTTATTTAGTATTTTGTGTCATAAAGTGATCAGCTATGTCCCAAAATGAATCACATCCAATTGTCAGAACACTGAATTTCCAAACTTGTTATGTGTTCTTTGAAATTCATGTTTAGATGTTAAGTGCTATTAAAATTGGATACTGGCTCCGCAATATATTACCTACAAATTAAAGGTTTGTTAAAAATATTTGTTTTCTCTCTGACTTATGAGCAACATAATAAATTTGTGTAGAGCAGATCCAATTTTGTAATGTTAGTTTTAATAAACATAGAGAAAAAATATTTTCTAAAGGTATATTTCTTTATACCTATTTTAATTTTAAAGCAAGTTATCAAGTTATGGGTATTTTAAGTACCTAATATAATTTATTTAACATAGTTATTTATTATTTATTTTGACTTAACTGGCTGAGCCCTTTGGACACAAATATAATTCTACACACACAATTAGATATATTATAATATAACATAATGATATCAGACAATATAATGTAGTAATAGTGTCATACAGATAAATCACTATTAAATTAATAAATCAATAAAATCCTATTAGGTGCCCACGATAATTTTCTTACCTTAAAGTTATAGTATTCGCTTTAATATTAATGTTTTTATAACTTACTTGAATAAAATTGCAATATTTATAATATATAGTCGGTCTGTAGAATTGTCTAAAAGAAAATCAGCTTCTCAAAAATGTTCAAAATACATTGGCTCGACTTCCTAGTTCCTTGTAGGTACCTACATCACATTATTATATTTCAGTTTATAAAACCATGATATAATACAATGTGTATAGTGTATTTGAGTGATCTAAAAACAGTAACAGTAAATCGGTAAGTTACTTTCAGCAAATATTTAAAATTTTAAAGAACTCGGACAATTACTTACCTACGTGTGTCGTGTTTGAACTATTCAACTATGAGACGCGAGCTAGACAATTATTAGAGTATAAACATTAAAAAATGTCTGTAAACCAAAAAGTCTAGAACTAGCTATAATCTGTAATAATAAATTATTATTTACCTAGGCAGACATTGATAAGAATGTGTACGATGTGTTGCCTATATATGTGCCCCTAACATAATACGGTAATCGGAAAAAGAAGTATAGTGAACAATGTACCGACAATCTTTTCTTGTACTGTTCTAAAGCTGTGCTTTGTTTTTTAGTGTTTTCATGTAATGTATAGAATGTTTGTACATATTATATATTTGTCATAAACCATAATAAGTAATAAATAAAAAAAAATATATAAGTGGAAAATGTATCAAAATACTTATTCTAATACTGCAGTTGTACAGTTGTACTTTGTATAATTGTATTTATTGTAGTGTGTAATGTATAGATAGGTATAAAATATATTTGTTATCTACTACAATAACTATCTTAAGCCGTATATTTTACTTTAGAAGGGCCGTAGAGGGCATCGAACAAATAATATGACTGTGGGGTGCTAGGGTGGAATAACCGATTTTCAAAACTCTGTGGACATAAGCATCCAACTTTTTGGAAATTAATTAGAAAAATAAATGTCCGTAGATGAAGCGAAGTTAGCTTTAGATTCTGTAGGAGATTCGAGAACTATTAAAAAACTAGTGCAAATTCAGACCGTAGAAAAACGTCTACAAAATGTATGTATACAAATACAAGCGGGCAATATCCGTGTGTTAGATTTTTTAACAGCCGTAAGTCATAACTCATAACATAAGAAAGAGGGGTACCTAATCAAAATATTAAATTCTTATAGCATTATTAATATAATTATATAAGTACTATAATTGTATTGATTATTGTATCACATTTTATTATTTTGGACTTTTATTTTATTTTATTATATTTTAATATGTGATTTAAGTAAATAATTAAGTATTAAAAATCATACATTTTGTATGATATTATATGATTTGTATGTAAATGTAATGTATTATTAAATACAATTTTAATATATTTATAATTTAATTTTGATATATTTTCATTATTTTTTATCGGAATTTTATTTTCCTAGCGTGTGACTTTTTTCCATAATTATTCCATAATACAGGGTACCTACTACCTAGTACCTACTATACTAGTTTACATTAGACAATTAGGCATTATCTTAGTAGCCAACCCATAAACACAAACGACTATAAGTAAACTAAAGTCCTAGGTAGTTAGAAATTTAAAATTGTACGGTGCCTATGTTAACCTAAACACTGATTTGGAAAGTGGGTAGCTTAAAGGGCCGGTCCTATTACAAAAATGTATAAACACAACCGGTAGAACATGCAAGTAATTATTTGAATGTTACTTACACGCACTACAAATCCGGAATAAACATTCGAATGATCTTATATAGAATCATCAGACAGTGTGAGATGTGAATTTCACATGTGAATTGAAAAAGTATCTTAATTATATTGTGTTCATTCATATTCTACTAGAAAGTTTTTTTTTATTTTTAAAATAAATATACAATCTGTACATTTAAGCACAATAAGTATATGTAAGATGCAAATAACAACAACATTATGAAGTTACGTGAATATGAGATAGTTAAGATAAAAAAGGTGGGTAAGTCGATGTCGCTCTGCTGCACAGTAGGTTACAAGTGGCCACTGTAATGGATGCTGTTAAATTTGAATTCAATAATACAATATCATTATATAAGAAAAACGATTATGAGCGAAAACGGTCAATCAGCCTATGATATTACCATAAGAATATTTATGATGTTATTGTGAATAAAGTAATATATATATATATAACCAATTTATGTGGAACCTTGTTTTAAATTTTCAATCCTTAGCTATAAAAGTTGAACATTTTATCAATTTTTAATAGAAAATAATTATTAAATTTTAAATTTGATAAATGTTGTCAAAATTCGAACTTCAAGTGTTTATAAAAAAAATTGTGCCTATGTATTTTTAATATTTTTCAACTACTATTGTTAGAATATATCAGGAGCCTTATTGCATTAGAATATTAGATGTTCACGCTTTGTTACCCAACAAATAAAATTGTATTGATATTCATGGGAAAAGAAAACTAAAAAAAAAGAAATTTTAAATTGTCCGTTAACAGTTCAAAATGAGTCAAAATATTTTTAAAATGTTATTGTGTATATAAAATAAAAATATCCATTCATAAACATTCAGTGAAATTTTCGTGTATCTACAGTCTTTCGTTTTTTAATTACAATAAAATAAGAAAATCGTTAGGTACATCATGAGAAATCGAGTGAATATAAAACGCTCATAAAAATTTAATTTTACTTTCTTGTAGACATTTTTTTTTTGATAAAGGTAGACAAACTTATGAGGAATCTTGTATTACATTTTCAAATTTAAGGTTTAAAAAAAAAATTTTTATGAATTTCTAACCCAAAATAATTTGCAAATTTTCGTCATTTTTAAGTATTTTGTCAATACCTTTTTGAACTTTAAATGCTTATAAAAAAAAATTGTGACTATAAATTTTTAATTTTTTTCATCTGTTCTTGAAACAATATAGGTACTAGGAGCTTCCTATTACATTTTCAAGCTTTTTTAACCAACAAAATACAATTTTATTGATATTTATAGAAAAAAAAAAACTAAAAAAAATGGAAACTGAAAATATCCGTAAACAGCTCAAAATAAGTCAAAATATTTGGAAAATGTTATGGTGTATAGAAAATTCTAATATAAACATTCAGTCAAAATTTCATGTACCTACTGTTATTTGTTTGAGCGTTGCACCAAAAACCAAAATCGATTTTTTCGAAAACAGATTTTGCATAAAAATTCCCGTTTTTATTAATTTTAATTTTAATTTAAATGATTTGTAAATTAATTAAGTACCTACTGTACCTATTTAATTTAAAACAATATTCAATACATAGGGAATTAAAACTGCCATCTAACGATAGTCAATAAACTATGGCATTACGAATGGGACACAGTTTTTAATTTATGAATTTACGATTAATTTTACTTTAATATTGACGTGCTTATCAGCCTATGTCGTTTGTCCATTAGATCATGACAGCAAAAAGATTAATATTTTAAACAAATATTTATGAAGCCCGGGCCTACCCACTTTTCTCCAAAAATAAATGTTTTATATCGTATTAAATATTACATTAAATACAACTAAATAAAACTATTACTATGTATTAGTTTAATTAGTATATCTATAATATTTTCCACTTGATACTATTATTGCATGACCTATGTGAATTATTAAAAGTCACATTTAAATAATATTTTCCATTCGATTGATTTCAAAAAATCACGAGACGTTTATAATAAGTTGTAGTCAGATAGATACTTTCAATTAGTCTAATACCAAAGTCACGAGTAGTGAGGGGGCTTTAGGACTTAGGTCTTAGGAGCTCTTATTTTTGTTTAGTCCGTTACTCATTTTCGAAATATGAAACTTTTTAGTCATGCCAGTGCCCAATATGCCACTATACCTACCAGCCACCAGGCCATTTAAAAGCATCCCCTGGAACGGTATAGCCGTATAGGTGTGTAAGGTATAACGGTGTAGGAAATGTTTGGACTTTGTAGGGGGAAAATTGATATTGGTAAGGGAGCTTAGCCTCTAAGTCACCGTTATTTGGGCCTATGCTACCCACGCTATTATTGTGTATATAATGTCAAATTACTAATTATTTTAAGTTAAAATTTTAATATGATATCACTATATTAGTAATAACCAGTGGCGGTTTTGATACAACATCAAGGGGGGGAGCTATTTTAAATTTTTGGCCTCCCTCCACCATAATTAAAGCAATTCAAGTATTTAGTGAAATTTCAA